ATTTGTGATACTCTGAATTTGCGAATAAAAGCTATCCATCAACCGAATTTTTCCGTGATCTTCGTTTACATATGATGACGTGGGTGGTTTGGAGTGTTTGGATCAGTCAAATTGAGATAACCTATTATCTAATCGGTAGTTCTTCGATGAAAAGCATATTATCACATCCAGTGACAATGAGTTGGATGGAACACGTGCTGTGTATGCTGAGCTGTTGTCTACCGCACCGCGACTCACCTGCACTTGTCGCTCCGTTGGGTTGGAGAAAATCATTTGGGGACAAACAGATGAAGTGGAGACTAGGCATGAAGAAATGCACAGAGCGATTCGATAGCTCAGGTGTCACTCATCTTCCAGATTGGGGCCAAGCAGAATCTATGAATTGTTGATTGGCAGTGATGTTGAATCGACAGTACTGGCGTTCATGTCGTCATTTTCCATCAGGTCCAAATGTTTGAATAGTAGTACACCCCGTGTGTTGACCCTAGAGGCTTACTCTCTTTTCTTCCTTCCAGGAAATAGACCCAATTAGCCATCCAACTTAAGCATTCATACCAGGTTTGTCTTTATAATGAGTTCGTCTGTGATGAGTCACTTTTCGCTTCTCGGTATTTCGCTGTACAGTGGTGCTGCTCGTGCAGAGACATTTTCATCGCAAGGGCAAACTACTCATGAGTAGACATATTGGTAATTGAAGTATTGGCTTCCGATTACCATTGCCCATGTGGTCTATCTGTCATCAGAGGCGCAGTCAAAAGTGAAATCACTAGCGTGTTGGGTTTTTCAAGAGCCAAGAAGATCACAGTGATGGTTTCAATGGGTCCACAAGGGGCACGGTGATTCGGAATTGAACGTGGTGCTATCCGAATTGCTGTATTGCATACATGTTAAACTTGAGAACATGGAGGAAGCATCTGGTCACCGAAAGCTAATCATCTTCTATTTTGAAGCACTCTGATAACATCTTTTTAAAAGACGTGTTAGCCCAGGTTTTGATCGATCAATGTAAACAATAAAGCTTCATAATGTTTAGACGGAGCTCAAAGAACTCGTCAGGTAGCGCACGCATTCCTGTCATACCACAGGCACGCCCGCGACGCGCAAGGCGGGCCAAATCCGGCTTGGATGGCTGCAAATTTCGTCAGTCAAAGGTTATCCGATCGATCAATCAGAATATCAAGGAAGCAATCTGATTGGTGGGTAATTGTGTCGTTCTTGTATGTCCGATTTATCCTGTGTATTTTGCGTATCGAATCATTGAATCTTTGAATAAACTTTGACTGTTGGCTAAAGTGGTGTTCTCTGTCCGCTTTGTTGCGGGCGATTAGGCAATGGGGGCTCATATCAATCGTACTTCCAGTCAGAATACAACATATAATTGTTTTGATCTACTTTAGTCGAGCCATGGTATTATCAAAGAGAAACAAACCACGAGCTCACAGCAAAAGTCATCAAAACTTAGCCGCACAAAAGAATCAGGTACACCTCTAGAAACCCGGTTAAACCAATTCCATTGGTGAACTCCCCAGCCTCCATTTCTGTTCCTTCCCTCTCTGATGCTTTCACTGAAAACAATAAAATGAAGACATTTTGGGAATATTTCAGCGTCGAATTTTATTGAACAGTGATGGATGATTTTGTCTACAGTTAGATTCGATTGAGTAAATTATAACAATGCACTTTCTGAGTGCACTCATGAAACTAGCGGATTTCTTTGAAGACAACTGCACCGGTCATTTTACTTTAGTACAATTAGTCACTATCCCTCCTCCCTCATAGTCAAATGTGAAGTGAATTTTTCAAGGAAATAAATAAATAAATGTACCAGATTTGGATAATCTGATTGGGTGTTGCATTGCACTTCACCTTACAATTAGTTGTTAATTTTTTGCAGAAATTGCTCGTATAGGTGGTCTATGCATACGGTATCATGCATACGTATTTCGTTCCTTCGCTATTTCATGATCTGAAACCATTAATTTAGGTGGTGGCTTTGAGTAACCACCAACCAAGTGGTTATGCAGTACAGTTTAGGGAGTACTAATAGGAGACCAACAATCGGGACCAATCAAAAACTGCTCGGTTTGAACAGGAATCATGTGACAAGATGAACGTGAAAAGCGATTGGTTAACACTTTATACTTACGATATAATAATCTCTTGTATATGTTATTCAATCTTCTTGATCTCTTTCAGTTAACTGATCACTATTTCTGTGACCTTCTTCTTACACATCAGTTTCGGGAGATTCCTGCACTTGATTACCAGTGCCATCTAGATTTCAATTCGGGATCAACGTATATTCCACGTATTATACAACCCGGTTCAAATGGTTTTCATCAAATTTTGATCACTTGAGGTTCAAAATCAATATGAGCTGAATTCACTTGGTCACGTGTCCGATTCTATTGCTTTGAATAGGGTACTAGCGGGATTTGGCGAACGCACTCATCTCTCCACGTGACGAATGTTGTCGATGCGCAAAATTGTGCCCGATGATTCTTCACTTAGGAGCACGGTGAGAAAACAAAGTATCTTACAAGATTGAGATCTGGCAGGCAATATTGGGCATGATATCAAATGGATTGTCTATACTATCTGTTTCATACTTGAAATGACTGATAGCAAACAAACAACCATCTAGGCGTACAGATTCAGAGAGGCTAGATTCTCTTTGCTTGAAAGTTTCTCAACGGCTTCGATCACCAAGTAAAAAATATTGGACTTATCTTTGCATTCTATTAGTGTACTTCCTTTTCAAGAATGGGAAATTATACGAACATACTTAGAGACGGGATATGTAGTCAATCATAAATGATCATCACACGGTTAGTCGAAAAAGAACGTAAAAGCCCTTCCTCAACAGAACACCAGAACACGCAAAAATCTATCTGACGCCAAGAACGGTGCACACAACTGTCAAAGTAGAACGAGGTGCACTCGGGCGACCTAATTTTTTGGGTACACTACTCAGCTGACGTTAGCTAATACCAATTGAACGGAATTTATTTAGTGCATTTGGACCCGAAGGTCAGCTTGTAATCGATGCAGTGCAACCATAACGCACCACACATCCGTCGTGGATTCACTCTGTTCAGCACCGGTCGGTAGCTCACATCCAATGCCTTAGCAAGAAAGCACTTCGATAACAAAATTGCTTGTTGTTAGTGTACCAAGCCAGTTGCTCGAATACATTAGAGTTACTATTACTGTCAAGCAGTCCTGGGTTATGTATGGTCAGGCCCAGGCAATCTGACGCGATTACTTTGTGAGTGAGTGAGAGAAAACAAAGTATAGTAAACCGGAGACACAAGAGAAAGAGAGAGTGCGCAGTTTGTCGAAGCAACCAGAAGTTAACCAGAATGACTGCTACTTTCAACCACAGATTTCAGGGAGCACTGTCGGAATACCACTATAAAATATCTGGGTTGGTGAAATAAATAATTTGTTTTGACCATCCTTCATTTGAGAAAGAGGGTTTTACAAAAGGATACCTAAGAGTGAAGTTAAGCGGAGAGCTTTGGGCAATCGCGACCGCCTATTAGGGCAAGTGGTCGATCTCCATAGATAACGTTGGTGGCNTCACGTAAGTCGACAAATGGATTCTCTCAGCATGCGGTGTTTGACGAGGTGAGTGATGAATGGAAAAATGTAAAGGACGATAAAACGGATTAACCATCATGAACGCCACGTAACGACCGGATCATACAGGTACTTGCGTTACAGTATTCCACGTAACCGAGACGCGAGGAAAAGGTCACATGAGTAGCAGTTATTTTATTGAAAGACATCACATGGATTAAACAATATATACAAAACAAGTTCATTGGTCATCCAAGCCTCTACCAATAGCGTGCTAGTATTTCTGGCGTTTTTCAGCTTCTGTCTGGGCTGCATGATTTCTGATCGGTTGGTACAATCGATCTAGTTCAGAAGCTGTAACACGTA